TCTGATTTTTAAAAAAAAAAATTTTAACCAAGAAAGCTACACCAATAAAAGCCCCAGTGTAGATGCAGTTTTACTGGTATAACTGTGCTCATACTAGTGTAGCTTCAACTGGTGAGAGGAACCAATTTAAGCGATACTAGTATGAGCATTTGTATACCGATATAACTTCAGCCACACAAATTGGTCTTGCGAGTTTAACTACACTGGTATTAGTATACCAGCAAAACCTTCTCATTGTAGGCACGGCCTGGCTCTTTTTACTCATACAAGGAGTTCCGTGGATTCAGTGGGACTACATGCAGGTGTAAGATTAGCAGGATCTGTCCTATGTGTTTATTCAATCTAGGAGAGGTCATGATGGTACATTAGAGGTTCACTTGTTCATCTTATGTGCAGTGAAGCAGGTCTATACTGAATTCTTAGATTTGGGACAATGTGTGGGAAGGTTTAATAATTTACAGCATCAGTAACTTTAAAAAAAACCATACCCATGCAGATAAAAAGCCTTCAGAAGAGGAGGTGGGTAATCGTGAAGCTTCCCTTTTAAGGAATGAAGCCAAATTAGTTGTGGCCTGTTGTATTTCAATAAAGGCAAGTTCTGCATTGTAGACATTGAGCCCTCAACAGCAAAATTTTCACCTAAGTCCAATTTTTGAAAGAGACATAGGCACTTAGGATCCAAAGTCTCCTTGACTTTCAGTGGGTTTGAATTCAATTGTTTGAGACTGTGAGTTGATTTCAGTGGCAATTAAGTATCTAAGCAGGTTAGGCACCTAAATCCCCTTGAAATAAATTGAATTCAACAGGATAGGTGCTTTTGGAAATCCTAGTAGGTGCCTTTCTGTATCTGTACCTGTAGGCCTCTAAATACCTTTGATAATCTGGTTTTAAGGCCCTTTTGAAAATTTTACTCCAAGTCCTTACCCAATCCTGCTCCATTGAAATCAATGGGAGTTTGACTGTTGACTTTACTGGAGCAGGATCTGGCCCCTGTTGTGTCCAACAAGTAGAAGCTTCATGTAAGGTTATGCACAATCCTTATGCACTGGGTAGCAGAATATCTCAAGTCCTGTGTGCGCCCTTTCTCTTACGTTCAAGTGTATAGAATGAATAAAAGAGTCAGGGCGTGGGCAGAGGATGGCCATGTTTGAGGAGGCAGGGACTTCAGAAGGATACTCAGCCTGCTGCTAAGACTAATTCCTGCTTCCCAGCACACTCACTAATGCAGAATTGGGTTCTGTGGCATTGTCTGGTCTTCATGTCATTGTGCCTTTACCTTGTGCCAATACTCTCAGTGCTCCACACTTGTATTATACAGGGTCAACCCATAAGGTTATTTCTGAACACTTTTGTCATCATCAATAATGGAGAAATGTGAATTTTTTTTAGAAATTCTTTCAAATGGTCAATTTCCTGGAAGTTGGACGAGGGGGAGGAGTAATCTAAGTGACCTAAACTTCTGACTGCTGGAAGTTGAGACTGGCTGATGGGATAGATCACTCGAAATTGCCCTGTTCTGTTCACTCCCACTGGCCACTGTCAGAAGACAGGGTACTGGACTAGATGGACCATTGGTCTGACCCACTGGGGCCATTCTTATGTTCTAACTCTGCTGTTCAAGAAATCCATTATATTGTGGAATAAACAGCATTATGCCTAAAAATTACAATTTTTCAGCAACATTTACACTGAATAGCAGCCACACCGAAAGGCACATGTAAACAATGAGATTCAGTGATGACCTTTATCAACTGTAGTGACAGCTATTAATCAGACTGCAAATTCTCATCAGTTCGCTGAACAGAATTCATTAGAGACAAAGATTGCTGTGTTGCTTTTGTCTTTGATTGAGGTACGTCCCATTAAAAAGAATAGTCTTTTAGCGGAAAAAATCACACATTTCAAAACAAAAGCCTAATATTATTCATTGATTCGTTTGATGACTAAGATAACCTGACTAGAAGACTAGCTAAAACTTATTGTGTTTTGCCTGGAACACAGTGTGAATCAATTTGTTCTTCCTTTAAGCAAACCAATTTTCTGTTCATTAAATTGGACCCTTTATCGATGGCCTGTTCTGAATATAATAGCAAGATATAGAGCCTTGACAAATGAATGCTGGTTTTCTCTTTTTAAAATGTGTTTTAGTAGTGCTAGAAACACACAGAAGAGATTAACACAAGATTTTAAGCTTGTTAAATTTTTAGGAAAGTTTACTACTTCCAGCTATGGAATAGCATTTACATAGTAACCTTGAAGATTTACAGTTCATTAAAGCATTTTGTTTTCGTTTGGGTAAGTGTAACCAGGGAAATAAGGAGTAATAAAAGTTTAGTAGAGATTTCATTAGGGAGAGCAATATAATTCTTGTCAGTTTGTGTTATGGTCTGAGAAATAAGTACTAATTATTAATAAACCTACAGACCCATTTGATTAATAATATATTTCACCTATGTGTTCAAGAGGATTGAAGTTCTGGAACAGCCTTCCCAGGGGAGCAATGTGGGCAAAACACCTAACTGGCTTCAAGACTGAGCTTGATAAGTTTATGGAGGGGATGGTATGATGAGACTGCCTACAATGGCATGTAGCCGATCTGCGACTGCTAGCAGCAAATACCTACAGTGGCCAGTGATGGGACACTAGATGGGGAGGACTCTGAATTACTACAGAGAATTCTTTCCCAGGTGTCTGACTGGTGGGTCTTGCCCACATGCTCAGGATCTAACTGATCGCCATATTTGGGGTTGGGAAGGAATTTTCTCCTGATTAGATTGGCAGAGACCCTGCGGGAAGTGACCCTTCCTCTGTAGCATGGGACACGGATCACTTGCAGATTTAAACTAGTGTAAATGGTGAATTCCCTGTAACTTGAAGTCTTTAAACCATGATTTGAGGACTTCAATAACTCAGATGGAGGTTACGGATCTATTACAGGAGTGGGTGACCTGCAATGTGCAGGAGGTCAGACTAGATGATCATGATGGTCCCTTCTGACCTTAAGGTCTCTGAGTCAAGCTTCCAGTTGGGGGTCAGGGTTTAATAATCAATTTACTTAGAAATTAGAAAATATCTTAATACTTTGAATGGTGTATCTGACCACACTTAAAGTTGGCCTGTTGTATACTGAATACAATATATAATTGAAAGATCTCGCATGTTGCTACATAACACAACGACGAGTCCGGTGGCACCTTAAAGACTAGCAGATTTATTTGGGCGTAAGCTTTCATGGGTAAAAACCCACTTCTTCAGATGCATGGAGTGAAAATTACAGATACAAGCATAAATATACTGGCACATGAAGAGAAGGGAGTACTTTACAAGTGGAGAACCAGTGTTGACAAGGCCAATTCAATCAGGGTGGATGTGGTCCACTCCCAATAATTGATGAGGAGGTGTCAATACCAAGAGAAATTGGTATTGACACCTTGGTATCTCTTGGTATACTTATTTTATACATTATGCCAATTAAATTTCAATGGTATTTTATTCAAATGGAGAAGATGGTTTGCAAGCAGATATAGAAATATGCTAAGCAACGTTACTTATACTAATAATGTTGTACACTTAAACAATACTTTCTATCCAGAATAGAGGTGCATAGAGCAGATGGCTTTTGAATTCGGATTAGATTTAGTCTAGAATTTGAGGCCAGAATAAGGCTAGAGTTTAGATTCAGGTTTGGATTTGACAGTCTTGGAATCTTGTGAGCTGTTCTCATAAGACTTTGCCCCAAGCTGGTAGAATTCTCATGAGACTACCTGATCACATTGGGCTGAAATCTCTTAAATGCGGTTGCATCCAAAACAAAAAAAGGCTTCACTTGGCCCAGGCTAGGGTTTAAATTAGTGAAAGGAGAAGTTGAGGGAACAATCAGCTCCCTTCCTCCCCAAGCTAGTCAATGGGGGGCTAGTATCAGAGGGGAAGCTGTGTTAGTCTGTATCCACAAAAACAATGAGGAGTCCGGTGGCACCTTAAAGACCAACAGACTTATTTGGGCATAAGCTTTCATGGGTAAAAAACCCCACTTCTTCAGATGCAGTGGGGTTTTTTACCCACAAAAGCTTATGCCCAAATGAATCTGTTAGTCTTTAAGGTGCCACCGGACTCCTCAAATGAGTGGCTAGAAACTCTGAAGGGGAGGGGCACCCCCTGCATCCCCTCAGCGTGTATTCTCCTCCTCCTTCAACTGGGACTATCCCAGTCATTGCTGGATCGATCAATTTCCCCACCTGTTGAGGCAGGTTTGTGGCATTTTAAGACAGGAAGTGAAGAATTGCTTCCCTAATTTAAACTGGAAGGGGGAATTTAGGCAGCTAGAATAATAGCCCAAGTTCTTAATTCAGCTAGGTCTGAAAAGTGTCATGGGATCTTTTAATGATAAAGTGGTCAGGACCTCAGTTTTAGGTTTTATTTGAAAGGTGCAGTCTCCAGCAGCATGCTCCACTGGAATGCAAGGACATTACTGACTCTAGAGAAGAGATCTACCTTCAAACACCCTTTTGTGCAGTACCATGATTTTTCTCTGGTGTTCTCCCATCAAAGTACTGATCAAGCCCAACCCTCATCTAAAGGACCCTCACAAACCTCACGACCTTCCTGTCATTGCTTTGACCTGGCTTTCTGTAAAATAAACGTGTAGCACTCTCCCTCGTGCTCTGCGCATGTGTATGTGTATATAATTAAAAAATCGGAACGAAAACACTTCCCTGCACACATTTCTCCCCCTGGACAGAGGATGAGAGAACAGAAACATCACAGATGTTAGTCATGTTACTTAATGCACTTCTGGAAGGAACTCAGAGACAACAGTCATGAGCAGGTTTTTAGACCCTATACAGAATAGATTAGAATAAGTGTGGTATAAGAACACTAAATAGAATAGAAACCAGCAGTTCTTTTTGGGACAAATCCATAGTTAGTTCTACATAAATAAACAACTTCGCTGGCTAAAATCTGTCCAATTTCCTTAATGTTCTTTTTTCTTTTTCCTGCAGATAAAGAATTCATTTATAGAAACCAGAATGGCACTGTGATCCTGCGGAATGTTGAAACAAACAATTCAATGGTATTAATAGAAAACAAAAAAATCGTAAGTATCTTCTTTAATAAGCAGAATAATTTCACAGTTTTCTTGCATTCAGGTCAATAAAGTAGAAAATGATGTTTAATTTTCAACTTCATGTATTGCCAAACAGAATACTATGGACTAAGCAACTACAGATCATGTGAAATAGAATCTGTGCTTTCTTTATTAAGCCAGAAGCTCAGTTTCCTTCTGTTTGCAGAAAACTCTCTACTACAGGTATTTGAAGCAAGCCTTGCATATCATATGTCGCTGAAAGAGAAATACCTTAGGCTTTTACACAGTTACTTTAAAGAACTTTGCAATTATATATTTATAATTTGCTTTACACTGCTAGGACTGATTCTTTCCCCCTTCCCCACACACACAAATATTTTGTCAAACACTTGGGAGATGCTGATTTCATTTGCACAAAGTTTGAACTGGAATGAAATTATTAAAAGAAATTTTGTTTAAAACATCTGGAGCAATGTAATGGGGTTACTGCATGTCAGGTTACAGGGAAAAATCAAATGGGTTATGGGAATAAGGTGTTAGTAAGGGGTTCCTGTAGTAAGTTGAGAGAACCAATTGATGCGTAAGACAGAATTGTATCTATGTAGAAGATAATGGAAAAGTTTTGTTACATTAAATCATATTCCAAATTAACCCAGCATGATGACGAAGCTAACATGTTAAATACCAGAATATTATCAACACTTGCTGTAAAAATGAATAGATCAAGTTAGTAAAAGACAATTGCCTGACATAAAAAGTACACTTGTATTTACAGCGATAATGAAAGATGAACCTCATTGTCGTTCTAAAATTAATGCTCATGCATTTGAGCTGAAGACATTCTGGATGAGAAGCTAATACTGCAAATCAATATCATTCACCACTCCACTATAGACAAGAGATCCCTGTCACTTTGGATGACCTGTTCTGCCTATCTCATCTCTACCGTGCACTCTGGTTCAGATCATTCCCACACAATTGTAACCGTCAAGGGGACACCAGAGGCATTTAAACACCTCAGTCAGGAACACGATATAAATACCTATCTAAACTGGTGTGAAAGGTGCAGAAGACCTCAAACCCCAAAACTGTATTGGAGGGAGCAGAACTGAATATCAGTGGCATCTTGCCTTCTTCTCTGATGTTGTGAAAGCCCTTCTGGAGATATAACCCTGATAGGATTAACTCTTCTAGTCATTCATCCCCTCCTGCTGCGTTTTTGAGGCCAGGCAAGGATGAGGAGACACAGCAGCAATGCTCTAATGGTTTTTAAACTTTACTGCAGCCTGCACCCCTTTGGTTCTCAAAATATATTCTCGCACCCCTTATCAAAAATTGTTGAAGTAGGTCAGTTCTTTAAACCTAGATATATTTTTGTTTGTATATTACAGTAATCGTTAAAAATATATCATGTTAATAAATACATAGGTTTGATTAAACAAAGTAGTTGTATTTATGTGCCTGTGCTTAATTTGTGTTTTCGATGATTTACCTTCTAAAAATATCTGGCATGTCTCGCACCCCCAGAAAGGGCATCTCGCACCCCCAGGGAGTGCATGCACCCCAGGTTAAGAACCACTGCTACATGGAGTTGCCTTGGAAGGCAGAAAGCAAGGTGGCTTGGGGGATATTGCTGAGAGTCTGATTCTCTGTGCAGATGCCCCAGTCCTCTGCTAATACATCCAGATATGTAGAATTTCTCCCTTTTGCTGCACCCGAATCCCTTCAGAAAAGACTATGTAGCAGAAAGCCTGCTGCCTCAAAGCTACAGTGTTTATTACCTAACTTTCCCCCCGTATAGGAGGGATTGGGCTTTCTCTTATCCATATGCACCATCCTCCCCATGCTAAGCCATTTTGCTCTAAGTTGCACTGATTGGAAACATCCTTCAAGAGGCCATTTTGCCAGCCAACAATCGCATTCCCATATGCAGGGGAATCCCCACATGGCTGGTAGAGCTGCTTTTCTGCCTGCTTTGCAGGGCTGGAATGGTGCAAAACACCATCAAAGAATCCACTGCCCTTTGGCATCAAACTTTTGTTCCTCTAAGTTTTGGTGCAGTCAAGGGTTCTTCTCCTTCCAAGATCCCAGAAATATGTCTGTTCACAAAAGCAGAACAAAGCTAAGGTACGTTTAACATAATTGCCTAACAGCTATTAAAAAGAGCACTGGAAATTGTGGACTGAATTTTGCCACCCAACCCCCCCGCCCCCAAGAAAGCTTTGTTCAGAAACCTGTTTGGCTTCAAGAAAATACTAAAACCACATTCCATATTGACTTCACGCTGCAGTAATCTCAAATTTCCTCATACATAGTTCTAGCACAGTGTCAATGTGTTAAATATGCCTAAAAGATCTGCCTAAAAGCAATACTGAGGTACTGTCTTCAAGCTTTTTATCATTGTGCTATATCCAGCTTTAAAGGCCACATGTTTTCATTTTACCTTCACACCTTGCTACGTCTCCGAGGCTGTACTGTTTTACCATAACTTTGTCCACAAGCAGACACCGCATAGCTAATTACGTCAATGACTGATTCCCTGGCACCTTTACAAAGTGAACCACAGAAATTCAGTTGAACCACAGAAATTCATATCAGGGAGCTAAGAAGGGGAGAATAAATAAACCGCATCTGCCTTCAAGGACACACCACTAGTGTCCTGATGTGTATTTTAGACCTGTGGAATAAGGGTTTGGTCGTGGTTTTCATGTTTCAGCTTGCAACAGAGCCAATAGTCATCCAGCTCTTTCTTTCTTTAGTAGTGCAACTCTACAATATGACAAATATTTCATGCTTTCCTCCTAGGAAACCCCCATGTTTTTTTTTCCCTATTCATTTCCCACCAGCCTCAAAGGCCACATGCTGAGGTGCCTCTGTTCCCTGACAATGACTGTTGAATGGAATTTTCTCCAGAACCTATCGGTTGTGCCTTTCGGGTCAGTGCGGAGCACGGTCACACAGTATATGCTCCCTCTAATATGGCCTAAGAGCACCATCAGCCCATGAACAGACCGAGGCTTGTTTTCATCCATTCTCTGCATGACAGCACCACGTGTTGGATCTAGACCAGCAGGCTGTCTCTGTTGAATACTTTCTGCCAACTGCATATAATAATTGTTTCTATAACTGCTCTATGCTGTTATTCCCACGGAGAGCATCATCTGTGCTCTGTGTAGAGGAATAGACTAGATTCCTTTAATAGCTGACTCTTCTTAGCTGAATTCATATGAGTTTTATTTTCTATGGCTTCAAATAGCCTTTCACTGTCTGCTTTTTATTCCATAGGTTCTTAGTTTTTGGCCATACCATAAAAGAAAGATAGTCTCCAGACTAGCTCTCCTTCCAACCCCCAATCCCCTACTACTTTGATTTCCCCCCCAAAAATATTTAATTCTGCAGATCACCAACGTGGGTTCTCCAGCCCAATTGATGGCAGTCCATGGACCTGGTATGAGAACCCCGCTCTACCTTATTCAGATGTTACAATAACACTGTGACTTGCAATAACTTTTGATGGTAAGGTATGCAGGACCTCACACAATATTCTGAATGTGGCCTCCTTTGTTTGGCTCTAGAAGATCTTCCTCTCTATTACATTGGGCCCCTGTCTCTAAACACTGCAGAGCTGTATTCGCTTACTCTTTACTGCTTCTAGTGCCCTGTGCTGGAGGTTTTAGATCTGTTCTTTGGGGAAGAGCCTTTTCCCATGTGCTGTTTTATCATATAGCCACTGAAGGAACATTTAATTTTTGATTGTTTTTCCTTTGTCTCACTACCTCAAACTGTATTGTATAAGCATCGTATCTGTTTATGCTTCTAGACTGCCTAGTTTGTCATGGATTTTATTATCCATCTTATTTACATTGACTTATTCCTTCTATCCCATCCACCCCCTTCTTTCATCCTAGTCTTGTGTCAGAACTACTTTCATTGTCTTGGCACAGATTCCTTCCTTCGCATTATTAATATATCAGCAAACAAACTCTGTCTTTATGCTGACAGTGCTGCCTGGCACACTCCTACAGACACCCCTCTAGTCTAAACTGCTTTCACTTCTCACTGCCCTCTGCCTTTGGATAGCTCATCTGATTCTTAATGCACTCGTGCAACTCGAACCCGCTCTCTGACCTTGTGAAGGACTTTTTTGTGTGATACCGTCCGCTTGCACTATGTCCAAGATCCTACTTCATTGTGTTTCTTGGTAATATCTCAAAGAATTCTGTCCAATTTGTTATGTGAAAGAAAAAGATTTAAAAGCAAGAGGATAAAAGACATATTAGAGTGACCTCTCTTTGGCCTGTTGGAGCTGGCACTGCATATTAAAACCACAGAGGAAAGGGGGAGGGACATCCTGCACTAGACAAATTAGAAGCAGAGGAGGGAAGAGACATCTCCAGACCAGTATCAGGAGCTGCTGTATATTAACGGTAATGCTAGGGCTAATTTTAGTCATGGCCCTCAGGAAAGGCTGGCATGTAAACTACATCACCCCAGAACCAACCTTGGGAGACATGGTGACTCAGAGACCCCTGTGAGGAACAATCCCTACTCTGATTCTGCATTGCTCTCACTAGGAGTGGGTGGCAGTATGTTTTATGGTTGGCCTGTACCAGCAGTGATTTACTATTCCTTCACCCCTGTTTGGTGGCTCAAATACCTCGACCAGTGACTGGGGATAATTGGGTGGAACCAAGGCTTTTCCTATTGCTTCTCATTCACTTCCTGCCCTTCAGCTACAGGGAGGAAGTAAAAAAATAAGTAGGCCTGTTTACTCCTATGCTGTCAGCCCCAAGATAGCCTGCATAGGCATGCAAGGGGGGTTCTTACTCCATGGGGCAGGCATATAGCCCAAGTCACAATGTAGCTTATATGCAGCACCAGCAGTGTGTTGGGCATGTCCCAGGTATAGAAGATGGCAGGGGTTCCTGCTTCAGGAGTTTACAAACTAAGGAGAAGACAACAACACAGGCTCAGCCTCTGAGGGGAAGAGAAGGACAGAGTCCTCTCCAGTTTTTACTATCCTGTGTTTTCTGTCCCCATCCTGACATGCATTTGCACCTACTTCCCACTCCATCAGCTTTTTGCATAGGACTACACATATGTGGTACTGTAGATGGATCTTAGTGTGAGGGAAGGAAATGAGCAGGGGAGAAAAACACATGAGTGAGACATGGTACTGTGCCTCCACGGGGTGTGCAGGTGTAAGGGCATATGCACAGATGTGTATAATCTGTTCACCTTTTTATCAAGACAAAGTAGGATTTACAAGTGTCTTCTAAAAAAATGAAGTCAGACAATACTTCCCTCCCTCCCCCCATGACGAGCATGAAAATAGTTTGACATATGAGGCTTTAGAACTACAAAATCTCTTGTATTTTAACATCTGATTATTTTTTAGGAGTCCTTAAAGGCCATTCGCTATGAAGTGTCACCTGATCGGGAGTATGCGCTTTACGCATTTGACGTTGAACCAGTAAGTACATCGATTTCATCGACAATATACAATTAATCACTTTTTCCCTTTGATTCTGATACAATATTTAATTTCATTCATCATTACGAAACAAAGAAAGAAAGAAAAGCCCCTCACTGCCATAAAATATATCCTCCAGGTGTGTGTCACTGCCATCTAATAGAGGGGAAAGGTATAAATAACACCATGGGGTAACACTGTCAATGCCAGAGTTTTATAAGGTTTGGGAGCGAGATTGTAAGGATATGTCTTTGCTACAAGGATTTCTGTTCCCCTTTAGTGTAATTCTTTTCCATGACTCCTTTCTCAGTCACTCTATAAATTTCTTCCTAAGAGCAAAAAGCAACTGTCAGTGTCTCCCACAACTGAAATAATACATTAATTATAGTATCACTGTTCCCAGTGCTGCAGTAAGGTTGAGCTATCACTTTCATTATAAAGCCCTTTTTTCAGAGATTTATACGTAAATCATCCATAAAAATTCACCCCAGGCTACTACTAAGTTTTAGATTAGGGTTTTTTTTTTTTAATTTTTTCAAGTTAAAAGGAAAAAAACCTGTAGTTTGGTCACTTTTAAATGATCATTAAATAAGAGGAAACGAGACATTGCCTGGCTCCGGATGCTCTTTTTGGGCTTCCATAATGTTTCGTTTTCCTTTTAAACCTTGTATGTATAAAATCTGAAAGTTCTGAATGATGGGTGTGTGGTCCTATCTGGGGATGCTATAAGCATACAAGTTTTGCTTTCAGAGTTTACAGTAGCACCAGAACCTCACAGTGGAAATCATTCAGTCTGTGCCTGTTGTGGAGGGGTTGTTTTTTTTTTCCTGTATAATGACATAATTACCCAAAGGACCAGCACATTTCTGCGGCTTTAGTCAAGGTTGTAATCCTGGTTCTCATTTCACTTAGTCCAATATCTTCGTTGGAGTTATTCCTAGTCCCCAGTGGAGTAAGGAACAGGAGAGTCATGCCTGGTGCTGTTAGATAAAGGTCAGGTAAAATTGTGGTGGAATCTTTAAAGGTGATTTTAAAGGCTGCTTGATGTGGGATGCTGCCTGGTGGAAAATGGTCCTTAGCGCAGATTTCACTGTATGCTACTTTGCAACCTTTCTTACTGTACATTTCCCCAGAAGGTTAGTACAGTTCAGAGTGAGCCATTCCAGACTTTGGAAGGGAATAGAAATTTCTTAAATTAAAAAATACTGACACTGTGAAAACTGCCTAATGCTATGCTTACCCAAGCAAGCAGAATCTGCACCCTCTGGCCGGTGTCTCTGATAATTATGACAGATATGGAGTAAAAGAGTGGATTAGATACTGCCAGTAAAAATGCTGGGCCCACATTGTCCCCTTTTGGGGTTAAACATCATGAAAAGGCTCAGGGGGAGAAAACTCCCACGATGTGTCTTAGTTTTCTCCAAATTCTTCTGAGAGTGAGGGTGGAGTTTGCATCCCTGCATAAGAAGCAGCAAAGCCAACAGATCCCCATTCTCCTGAAATCTGCACAGACCTCAGAAGATATACAAGAGGCCAGGATCCTTTTACACAGTAGCTCTGTGACTCTACCCGGTTCTCTGTGACTTGCCCAGTTCAGGGGCCGTTGCAGATCAAACCAGGTTCCCTGTTTTCAGCAGAATTCCTGTTGTAAGGGAGAGGCAAGGTGCATTCCTTCCACTGGCCCCCTCCCCTCTCCACATTTGCAACCTCAGTTCCATGAAGGGTTCTCAGTAGGCTCCCAGGCAGGAGTTTGACAGTGGTGTGGAGGTGGAGAACCCTGCCCAAGGATGGATGGTTGGATGGATGGATGGATGGAGGATTCTGTCCGCATGCAGAAGTAAGGAGCACCATCTCTTCATGGTTTGCGCTCCCTCCTGATGCCTCATGCCATCAGAAAAGGAAAATGCTAGGTTTAAGGATGGAGAGTCACCCTTTGCAAAGATGTCAGAATGTTTCACACTTGTGATTTTACAGCCATTTGTATGTAATCTGTATCTCTGCTTTTACTGCCATGATCCCTGTTTACAAATCTGGACTCGTAAGTTAGGATGCTCCTTTCTAAATTTGAATGTTCAAAGGATTTTTTAGGTATCACAAGCAGTTATTTGGGCATCTAAGTGCTGATCTGCATTACCAGATGTGACATTAGGCCTCCAACCTTGTAACTTGTTCTCTACAACATGGTCATATATGAGATTATTATAGCAACAGTTTCCTATTCAAGAGTATTTGTATGTTCAATAGAAACCTCCAGTTCTTAAAGGGAGCTGCACGGGTTCCTTATTTTGCATCCTGAAAGATTATTGAATTTTGCTCTTGAGTAATGTACCCATAAACCATGTTTGTGGCTCCTTGATTAGCGGAATGTAGCTAACTATTCAGTTAATTCTCCAGATATATTGTCATTTTATATATAGACTGCAATTGTAAATGACTGCACATATTAGTAAACTTTTCTCACTTACTGTCTTAGGATCGGATGAAATTAAAATTGTGTTGGTTTCTGTAATGCAAAAGCTCCAAGTAATTGATTCCTGGGAATTTTGGTGGTTGTTTGTGATGCAAAAGTCAAAAAGGAGATTTCAGTGAAACTGTTAGAAACATTTTCATCATATTTCAGTTTAAATCTACAAATCTTTTCAAAACAGATTTTTGCTTATACATATATAATCACTTAGCATTTGAAAATTACTAGGTTATTCTTTATATTTTTGATCATTAGAGTATGATACAGTACATTTTAGATATATGTTTTGTATTGTGACAGGGTCAGGCCACATGGCTACAGGAGAGTAATTTTTTTTTGAAGCAAAAAAGGTATTTTTTTTTTATTTGCATAACACACTTACAAAACAAAACAACAGCATATGCAATGTGTAACACAGCAACCAATCACAATTGTTTTCTCATTAGCTTCAGGGGAGGGAAGTGTTCAAGCTTGCCTGGGCCCAGAGCGGGGGGTTTCCTCGACTCTCGTGGCCTTCCACCCTTCCGAGTTACCTGGTGGCCCAGAGCGAGGGGGCTTCATCGTCTCTCAAGGTCTGCCACCCCCTCGAGTTACCTGGCGCCACGCCCGAGTGTCACCAACAGTTCCCTCTTCTGAAAGCACCCAACAAAAGGGGCAGGCTGTGGGGTGGACAACCCGGAGGGAGGCACGTGCACCCACGTGAGAAAGGACCCCTCTAAGGTGGTGGTGTCTGCAGCAGCAATGGCTGGGGCTGGGGTCCCTTACTCTCTCCCCCAATCAAAGCGTCAAAACAAAGGAAGCCGGACGGGGACACCGAGCAGAGAGCCTTGGACAGCTCCTCAAAAGCATCAATGGAGTCGGTGGACGCTGCCCAGAGGAACTCCGCCCAGATACGTGAACTGACCGAGGATCAGAAAATGGCCCCACAGTCACAGGAAACTCCATCGGCCAACCTCCTCTCTCTGGTTTTATAGATGGCCGTTTTAGCCAGGGCCAGGAGGAGGTTAACTAGGAGATCCCGTGACTTTGTGAGGCCACGGATGGGGAGTGCATAAATAAAAAGGTGAGGGGAAAAATGCAACCAAAAACGTAATAAAAGATTTGTGAGGAGCTGGAACAGGGGCTGTAGCCTGGCGCACTCCAAATATACGTGCGCCAGAGTTTCCCTCACACCGCAAAAGGGACAAGTATCTGGGATGGGGTTGAACTGCGCCACGTACGTGCCCGTGCTCACAGCTCCGTGAAGGAGCCGCCAACTGATGTCCCCGACGGGCCTCGGAACCAAGGTGGAATATAGGCTGGCCCACCGGGGCTGCTCACCCTCCAAAGGTGGCAGAAGGTCTCGACACTTTGTGTCGGGGCGGGACACTAGGGTGAGGGCGTGAAGCGTGTGGAGCACGAGCGTGTATAGATGTTTCCTTGGCACAGTTTGGAAGCATACCGGCTGCAATTCATGCAGCCGGCTCTCCGTAAAGGGGTCGGGGGTCAATTGGGTCTACAGGGCAGGGGTCCAATTAAAAGGTCCGGCGGGCCTGGAGTAGAGGGTGGGCGGGGCGTGCCCTCGAGCAGGACCCGATTGAGGTAAGCTCTAGCAGCGGGTGGCAAAGCGGCCTTCACCTCCTGAAGTACGTGCCGGGGGGTACGAGGTCTGAAGAGCCCCATGCGCTGAGCGAGCATCAGGGGATCCAGGCAGTCTCCCCGGTCATAGTCTAGGAGGTCTCTGACTCTTGTGACTTCTGCCAGGATCAAGCTCTGGCGCACCGAGCGGGACTCCGCCACCTGCACATGGAGCTGGGGGTTGTGTAGCAGGGGCTCCGCGAGGAGATCTGCCCCCTCGGTGGCTGCCACGGACCTGGTCGTTAAAAACCGTTTCCAAGTCCGGAAGAGGTCCTGGTAGAAGACCGGCAGCCCGGAGAGGTCTCGCGGAAGACCTCCCAGACAGAGATAAAAGAGCTGCCGGTCATATCGGAGCCCTCGGATGCGGCGCAACAAGGCATGCGCCAATATGCTCCACGCCGAACTGCCTGCACTATAAAGGAGCCTCTGTAGGGCCTGGAGGCGGAAGATGCAGACCTGAGTGTGCAGACACTTCAGGCCCTGTTCTCCTTCCTTCAGGGGTAGATGAAGAACCCCTACAGGGGCCCAGTGCATTCCTGACCAAAAGAACCCCAGAATCGATGTCCGGAGGTTGGTCAGGAAACCCGGGGCCAGGACCAGGGTGTTGAGCCGGTACCAGAGCTTGGACAGGACTAGTTGATTAAGCACCAGCGCTCTCCCACGAAGGGAGACACATCAGAGTAGTCCCGTCCATTTCCGGAGCCGCTCTATCACCCTGCCCGCTAAATTTTCCCAGTTCTCCAGCAGACAGGGATGCGTGGCAGAAAGGTAAATGCCGAGGTAGAGCAGCGGACCCACGCTCCATCGGATGGTCTGAAGCACGGGTGGGAGGGAGCTCACCTGCTGTCAGTCTCCTACCGCCAAGCCACAGCTCTTGACCCAGTTGACCCGGGTGGAGGAGACTGCCGAATAGATG